AGGATCACCATCCCCACACGCTCCTCCCCTCCAAAACCCTCGGTTTGTTTCTCAGAGTCCACAGTCTCTCATGGTTTGTCTCCCCCTCCGATTTCCCCCAGTTCACTTCTCTCCATCTTCCCATGTCCCCCATGTTATCCCTTATGCTCCACAAGTGAAACCATATGATAATTGACTCTCATTGCTTCACTTATTTTCACTCAGACAATCTCCTTCAGTCCCGTCCATGTTGATAGAAAAGTTGAGTATTCATCTCAAAGCCACATGGAGATACCACCTTACACCAGTTAGATGGCCAAAATCAACAAGACAGTAAACAATGTGTGTTGAAGAGGATGTAGAGAAAGGGGAACCCTCTTACACTGTTGGTGGAAATGCAAGTTGGTGCAGCCACTCTGGAAAACAGTGCAGAAATTCCTTAAGAAATTAAAATAAAATACTGGGGGCGCCTGGGTGGCTCAGCTCAGGTCGTGATCCTGGGGTCCTGGGATCGAGCCCCACATCGGGCTCTCTGCTCAGCAGGGGGCCTGCTTCCTCATCTCTCTCTGCCTGCCTCTCTGCCTATTTGTGATGTCTGTCTGTCAAATAAATAAATAAAATCTTAAAATAAAATAAAATACTGATTTGTAAAGATAGGCTTATAAACACTTCCCTTCCACACACCCCTCCCCACCTCCTCAGTAAGGCTTCTGTATGGTAACAGGGAATCACAGCTCAAAGAAGTGACATCCAGACTCTGTTTACGATGAAGTCTGCAGGAAGCTCAAAGACAACAGTCGAGATAAAAACAGGACACCTGAGGAGATTTACCCTCTGATATCTCATCTACAGAAAATGATAATTACAAATTAACTCCAAGCTGGATAAATGTACCTTCACAAGAAAGACACATCTACCTAAATTTCTTTTTTTATTTTTTTAAGACTTACCTATTTATTTCAGAGAGAGAAAGAGAGAGAAAGAGAGAGAGCGTGCATGTGAGTGAGGGGAGGGGCAGACAGAGAGGGAGACAAGCAGACGCCCTGCTGAGTGGGGAGCCCGATGTGGAGCTTCATTCCAGGACACTGAGATCATGACCTGAGTTGACATCAAGAGTCAGAGGCTTAACCAACTGAGCCACCCAGGCACCCTGTACCTAAATTTCTTTTTATCTGATAAATAATGTCCAATTTTCCACCAAAAGATTACAAGGCACCCTGAAAGACAAAAAACACATTCCATAGAGACAAAACGAGTGTTAAAACCAGACTCTAATATGGCAGATGGTGCAGTATCAGATTGGGAATTTAAAATAACTCTGATTGATGTGCTAAGGACTGTAATGGGAAAAGTAGACACTGTGCAAGAACAAATGGGTAATGTTAGCAGAAAGATGGACACTGTTTAAGAAGAAACATGCTAGGGGCGCCTGGGTGGCTCAGTTGTTAAGCTTCTGCCTTCAGCTCAGGTCATGATCCCAGCATCCTGGGATTGAACCCTGCACTGGGCTCCCTGCTTGATGGGAAGCCTGCTTCTCCCTCTCCCACTTCCCCTGCTGTGTTCTCTCTCTGTCAAATAAATAAATAAAATCTTAAAAAAAAGAAGAAAAATGCTAGAAATCAAAAGAAACACTGTCAGAGAGAAGAATGAGAATAAAAAGAATGAGAGAAGGAAGAACGCCCCTGATGGGCTCATCCGTTGACTCGACACAGTGGAGAAAAGAATCAGTGAACTTGCAGATAGATTAAGAGAAAAAAAAAGAAAAGATGAAACAAAGTATCGGGGAATCGTGATAGTTACAGCACCTGACATGCAAACATAATGGTGATACCAGCAGGATTACAAGAGAAAGGGACAGAAGAAATATTTGAATAATGATGGCATTTTTCCCCCTAAAATGTATGATGGATCACAAAGTGCAGATGAAGATGTTTACAAAACACCAAATAAGAGGAACACCAAAAACCTACACTTAATCATATGATATTCAAGCTGTAAAAAGTCAACGACCGATTCTTTTTTTTTTTTTAAGATTTTATTTATTTATTTGACAGATAGATCACAAGTAGGCAGAGAGGCAGGCAGAGAGAGGGGGAAGCAGGCTCCCTGCTGAGCAGAGGGTCCGACATGGGGCTCGATCCCAGGACCCTGAGATCATGACGTGAGCCGAAGGCAGAGGCTTTAACCCACTGAGCCACCCAGGCGCCCCTCAAAGACTGATTCTTGAAGGAAGCTGACATGGGGGACAGATAACCTTACCTACAGAGACAGAGATAAATACGACATTGGACTTCTCAGAAACCATGAAAGAAGGAAGACAGGGAATGGAATATTAAAGCTTTCAGATAAAAATAACCACACACTAGAATTCTGAATCCAATGAAATTATCTTTCAAAGGTGAAGGAGAAATGAAAACAGAAGGCATGTGTCACCAGCAGACCTGTCTTGCAAGAAATGTTGAAAGAAGGAAAATAATAGAGGTCACAAAGCCAGATTTGCATGAAGAATGGATGAACATTAGAGAAAGAATAATTGAAGACCTTTTACATTTATCATTTCTAATCCATCATACAAGTAATAGTTTGTTTAAAATCATAACAGCAACATTGTATTCAGTTCTTATAGCTTATGGCTGAGTGACAGGAATGGTGGTAATCCTATGTGGGAAGGGAAGGAGGAATTGAGAACACTCTGTTATTACAATATTTCCACTTTATTAATATTTTTTTTTTGCAAATGGATTTGGAATGGTTGTGAATGTATATTATGAACTCTGGAACAACCGCGAACAAATTTAAAAAGAAGTATAATGGATATTCTAAGAGAGGAGAGAAAATGAAATTGCATAGAATGCTCAACTAAAACCAGACAAGGCAGAAAAAGAAAGGGAAGAGAAGCAAGGGGACCGAATAGAAAGTTGTTACAAACATAGCAGATGGGACACCTGAGTGGCTCAGTCGGTTAAGCATCTGACTCTTGGTCTCGGCTCAGGTCTTGATCTCAGGGTCGTGAGAGTGAGCCCCATGTCGGGGTCCACACTCAACGCAGAGTATTCCTGGGATTCTTTCCATCCCTCTGCCCTGCCCCCCTACTCTCCCACTGTAAATAAGAATAAATAACTAAATAAATAACTAAATAAAATCTTTAAGAAATCCAAATGGCGCCTGGGTGGTTCAGTGGGTTCAACCTCTGCCTTCAGCTCAGGTCATGATTCTGGGGTCCTGGGATCAAGCCCCGCATCAGGCTCTTTCCTCAGCAGGGAGCCTGCTCCCCCCCGCCCCCCCCTGCCTGCCTCCCTGCCTACTTGTGATCTCTGTCTGTCAAATAAATAAATAAAATATTTTTAAAAATGTTAAAAATATCCAAATATGTAATGGGGAAAAGAAAGATCCATCGTGCTGACTTAATTAAAAGAAAGTTCAAGGCGCCACAATAAATTTGAGATAGAGCAGACTTAAGGGAAAAAAAAAAAAAAAAGGTCAGGAGTAAAGGGAGATATTACAGAATGACAAAGGAGCCAATTCTCTGCAGGATGTGTGAGAGGTGAGAGGTGAGTCAGGGTGTGGGAACTTCGCGCACTTTCTGTGCAACTTTCCTGTAGACCGAGGCTGCTCTAACAGCCAGAACTCTATTCATTACCAAGACGATTACCCCCTCTTCCTTTTTTAAAATCTTGTTTCTCCCCCTCCTCCTTTTAAAAATTTTTATTTATTTATTTATTTATTTATTTAGTCTTATTTTCCCCCTCTTCCTTCTTTATGTGCTTCTTTTCTCTTGTGCCTCATGGTCACGGAATGAAAAAATGCGGTAGACTTCCAGGTGCGGGGCGGAGTTATCGGAACTGGTCCGTTCGTTAATGCGGGGACTGCTGTAACACGCGGACTTCTGTTTTATAAAACAGCAGTGGCGCTTTAAAAAAAAATAACGGCTGTGTGCATGTCTACCATAAAAGGAAAGAGACATGCGGAGTGACAGAAACCGCTCGCAGAAGTCGTACCCTACGTTGTTCAGTTTCTGCAAACTGCCCAGAATAGACCAATCCACAGACACAAAAGCCGATGGGTGGTTGCCAGAGGCTGGGGGACGGTGACCAGTTTCTGGGTGTGGGGTTTCCTTTTGTGGGGTCAAAAGTGTCACGGACCTGGATGGTGGTGATGGGGGCCCAACATCCTGAATGCCCTTTGTACTGCTGACTTTTATACCTTATGATTGCTAAAATGATAAATTTTATATGATGTATATTTTAGCACCATGGAAAATAAAAGGTGGAATACAAAAAAGAAAACAAAACAAAAAACTAATGGAGTAAAATTTTTCCAGAGGCAGTGGTTCAAAACAAAGCCTGACACTTGTACAGGCGATCCTTGAACAGCTAGGGTCTGATGGTTTCGGGATCCCGTAGATGGAGATGCTTGCTTTTCAGTAAATCCAGGACTGTGAATGTATTTTCTCTTCCTCATGATTTTCTTAGCAGCCTTTTCTTTTCTCTAGCTTATTTTATTTATTTATTTTAAGATTTCATTTATTTATTTGAGAGAGAAAGTGAGCACGAGTGCGGGGAGGGACTGAGGGAGAAGCAGATTCCCCACTGAGCAGGGAGCCCGACACAGGGCTCGATCCCGGGACCCTGAGATCATGACATGAGATCATGAAGGCATAGGCTTCACCGGCTGAGCTCTCCAGGCACCCCAGTTCACTTTATTTTAAGGATACAGCATATACTACCTATAACATACAAAATGTGTGCTTGTTATTGATAACACTTTCTGCCAATATAGGTTGTCAGTAGTTCGGTTTTGGGGAGTCACATTTATACGTGGATTTTCTCTAGCCTGGCGGTCAGCGCCCCCAACTCCCTGTGTTGCTCAAGGGTCAGATGCTTAACCAAGATGCCGCTGCGTATGTTTTTCTTTAGCATAAAAACCAATGGTGAACTTCGCATGGATGAGCCGGGTCGAAGAAATGGGTGTTTGTCTGGGGAGCCGGATTTTCTGGGCTGTATTGCTGTTTCTCTTTGCAGAGAGGTCGTGGATCTGGCTTCAGCGGGTGCCGCCGGCGTTCGCATTGGCTACTGTCCGCAGCAGGATGCCCTGGACGAGCTCCTCACCGGCTGGGAACACCTTCAGTATTACTGCTGCCTCCGGGGGATTCCCAAGCTGAGCATCCCTCATGTAAGACTCCCTGGACTCTTCCAGAAGAGGGTCCTGCTAAGGACCCTCCAGTGGCTTGGAGGGTCCTCCACTTGGTCAACTCCTCCAGTCCCAACAGAGCTCTCTGACCCCTTGGGAAGGAACCATGATAAACCACATAATGTACCTGAAAGATGTTTCCAATTTGATTACACGGAAGGAAACACAGTAACGGTGTTAATGTGGCATTTAATCCGGTATTTAAAATAGATGTGAGAGGGGAAGTGGCTTGGGGTTAAAGCTAACATTGTTTGCAACTTTGTTTCCTCTCCAAGCTCGTTTTGCATTTACCGGCTGTTAGTTTTATTTAGGAGCGAACATCCTAGACCCTCCCTGTGGCTTTCAGGGAAGGGCTCAGGCTGCCTGTGGAATGGGGTGGGTTGTTGGAAGGATTTCCCGGTGAGTGGGCTGACACCTGCCCGCCCGGCTCCTTCCCCGGGTGGCCTCTGGAGGATGGAGAGGTGGCAGAAACTGCAGACTGCCCCCCTCCTCTGTCTCTGTGGGGCTGGGGGTGGGCAGAGTCATGAAAAAGCCAGAGGCAGCTGCCGTCCCCCTGCTATGAGTGGGGGGTCAGCCAAGCAGAGCTGACAGCCTTGACCGGCAGCTCAGAGGACGTGCCAAGGGCTAGCCACTGGAAGGGCAGGTGCTGGGGGCACGGCTTTACCTTTTCTGCCCCTTGTAAAGATTCTGGAATGCTCTTTGCATTTCTGGATTCTGAACAAGGAACAGAAAAAGTGGCTTATGTGGTGCATTTTCAATGAGATTCTGCAGGAAAGGGAGCGTCCCAGAATTCACGGGAGACACAACTAACAGCCTCACCTTCACTGGCTCATGAAAATTCATTCCATGTGCTGGTGTGTAATGTTTCTTCAGCCTTCATTTCTTATTGATGCTCTGTAACTTAAGCGCAAGTAAAACAGAAACCCTCCTCGTCCTCGGAGGGCCCCACTTCCTTCCCCCGACCTCCCGTCTTCATCAAGCCAAGACAACTGTCCGCCTCTAGAGGTCTGCTCATCGTGGTGAAGCAGCCATTGAAACCCAGGACTGATCAGGAGCTCTGTCTTCAAAAGGTGTTTATTTCTGTCAGCTCCCCCGGCTCGTTTCTGATGAAAGAGGCAGATGCTTGGCGTCCACCCTCCGCTGGCCCCTTCGCTGGCCCCCGGGGGAAATGCACACGTGGAGAAGTTCTGCTTAATAGAGTAGGGCTTGCGCACTCTGTCATCGGGGCGATCACCTCCTGATTCTTGGCGCGCTCACCGGCTCATTTCTCGGAGCTCCTCCGTGAAGGAACGTTGTTTTCCTGGTGCCAGATTCGGAGCCGGCCTTGCCTCTTGTGCGGAGCCGCAACCATTCTGCAGAAGGAACTGCTACGTGCTGGGAGCCTTCTGAATGGCCACATGTGTGTCCCCAGGCGGGGTAGCTCCCTTGATGGCCAGGGGGTGCCCTTCCCTTCTAGGGAAATAGAGTGCAGGTGTGTCTGTTCGAACGTGCTTATCACTGGCTGCCCAGAAGGGGTTATGACAAACTAACAGGAAAAAATCCTTTTGGCCAACATTTCAGTATTTGCTCTGGGCTAGACGCTATTCTAAGTATTTTACAGAACCACAAGAGGTTGATACGATGCTCATTCCCTACTTGGCCAGTGGGGAAGCTGAGACACAGAGGGGTTGGGAAAACTACCTAAGCCCCGGGGTCAGAAGGTGGCGGTGTTTCCTTAGCGATCCGAGTAGCTGTTCTTGATGAAGAAAGAATCTGGATGTGAGCTGCTCCTTGAGTACTGTTCAATTTCTTGTGCCCCGAGGGTCTTGGTCTTCCTCTCTGTGTCCCTTTGGTGGCTACGGGAGTAGAAGCTATGTGGAGTTGTCTTGTGGCCCCTGGGCCCAGGGGTCCCATTCCACATCTTCCTCAGGGCTGGAGCTGTCCCAGCTGAGCCCCGCACCCGCGTTCTGCCAGGACTTGGAGCCGGGGTCTTTTCCTGGCTTATCTTCTGCTCACCCCCGTTCTCCCCTCCAGCTGACTTCTGCCTCTACTCACCTGGGCAGCCCCAGTTGTGTCCTCCATGGTTCTAGAGGAAGCTCCCCCTTGTTCCAGCAGGTAGCCCCTCCTGACAGCCCCTCTGCACCCCTCTCTCCCTTCCTCCTTCCCTCCCTCCCTCAGCACCCAGGCTTCTCTGCGTCCCAGGGTCCCAGCTTATGCACAGCCCAGTCTCTGGTATTTTGCGTGTAGTTTTCTTCCTCCTCAGAGCCACACACCACCACCACCACCCCCCCGCCCTGGCCCCAAGCCCTCTGAAGGCCCAGTTAGGTGGGAAAGAGAGGCTGTGTTCATTTGGCTTGAATTCAGGATTGGCAGGCTGATATAATGGTTTTCAATTTTCCCCCGTTGTCCACACTAGATAGTTTTGTGGTGTCCATATTTGAGCTTGAATTCAGTGAACCTGATTTTTTTGTTTTTCTGAAGTTAAATCAAGTTATACCAAAATGATTCAGAAGGCAGGGGTGGCATGGTCTGTGATGCTGGAGAAATGGGTAGAGTAATTTAAGGGTTTGTGTCATACTGGAATCACCGACCTACCGTGCTACTGGGGATGAGGACTGGGGTTTCTATAGGATGGTCTTGCTGGGATGGAAGAAGCCATTCCGCCCCTGTGTTCACCTGCCAGGGAGAACCCCCTCTCCCACTCCCCACCCCATGTCTCACCACCTCCTGCCTTCTCCACAGACACATCTCTTACCCTGCAAGTTTCTTCGGTTCACAGACGGTTTTGCTAGAAGGAGCTCGAAGTGGTGGCAGGAGGAATGGGGGGCAGGAGGAAAATCAGGGGAGGGGGCTGGAAGAAAGGCTTTCTGTTTTAAATCCTGGGCCCCCTTTATCCTTCTCATTTTGATCTTTAATCTCCTGGGGAGCTTGGACATGGCTCTCAGCATGGTGTGGCCAGAATTTGGCTTTGTAAGCAAACTAATGCATGTGTGGACCTCTGGGAGTGTTATACTGTTTCAGACGAGGCTTACAGAAGTCCTACTAAGCATGGGTCATGATTACGCAGGGCGGATGGAAGGAGGAGTGAATCCTAAACTCTTGCCTTGAGTGTAGAAAGACTGGGAATTTTATGGGAGAAAAACACCCAATAGCAGAGAGAGGTTCCTTAAGCGGAACACAGTTGGGGGTTGGCATGGTGTTTTGCCGACCATTGCTAGGGCCGCACGTTTGCTGTAATCTTGACAGGAGTCCCAAGTGCAGAAATGCAGCAGAAAGAGCTTATCAGGCTGTTTTCTGTGATTTTCTGAAAATAGCGACTTTTAGGAAGCATGAGATTGAACCAATGCATTTGTTTCTATGTGTTCTGGACCCTTCCCTATGGCCATCCAACCCAGGATGGGTAGGCTGCCACACTGACTTTTTTTTAAATTAAAGATTTGATTTATTTATTTGAGAGAGACAGCACAAGCAAGGAGAAAGGCAGAGGGAGAAGTGGGCTCCCCGCTGAGCCAGGAGCCCAATGTGGGCTCCATCCCAGGACCCCGAGATCATGACCTGAGTTTAAGGCAGACCCTTAAACGACTGAACCCTTCCGGGCACCTAACATTGACCTTTTGTGGAACTGGGAAAACATAACCTATGAACATCAGCAGTCATAGTTTGGCGAGTTTATTCTAAAGTTTTCTGTGTCCCCTTGACTTACACTCTCTGATATCTAGGCCTGTCCTCAAGATTCTTAATTCTTCTGTGTTATTTTGAGGAGGCGCGAAAAACGCTTTGAGTGCTTCTGTCGGGGGTTTTTCTTGGGAGGCCTAGATATCATGCTGGTATTTCCTGACGTTCTTGGTATGTCATCATGGCCATTATTATTAGGATTATCCCAACTGGTATGCATTTATCCAAAAAATCATGAACATGAGTCCCTGTATCTTATTTAAATATATATTTTATTAGTTATTTTACTTTAAATTTTCTTCTGTTTATCTTAGATTTTCTTCATTACTCAGGACACAGAGCCTTCCCCACCTCTCCTAAATCTGAATTAAGGCACGATCACAGCCAGTTTGATCATATGATGATGTGTAAACCAACCCACAAAACAGAACCGCAGCAATGCCTCTGTGGTCACGAGAGTCACGTAGAACGCTTTCGTCAAAGTTTTAAGTTGTGTCTATCACTCAGTGTCAGCGCCCGAGGAAGCTACACCGCGCCGGCACGGAAAGCAGACGAGATGCGGGGTGGCGGGAGCTGTGGTGGGCGCTGGAGCGGAAGGACTGTATGGACACCCACTGCCCGCTGGGGAGGGGGAGAGGGGACAGGGACGAGGACAGGAGTGGGGTCCCGGGGGTATGAAGGAGGGCAGGTGGAGGTGGAGCGGGGAGAGGAGGCGAGGGGGCCCGACGTGCTGTGTGTGCTCAAGGTAGAAACCCCTGTCCTGTGGGGTGATGCACAGTCACCGTCCTCCTGGCTTCGTGCAGCGGGTCCCAGCAGTGGCCGGTGAGAAATGCTCCGTCTTTGCTCCCCATCTCCCTGAGTGCCCATCTCTGGCAGCAGCTCCGTGGTAGAAAGGGAGCATTTTTGGCCTGGGGGAAATTAAAAGCTCTCTTCTCCGTTCTCTGTTCTCTGAAGCCCCGCCCGGCCCTCCCCCTCACTGGCTGATTCCCTTACTTCCTCCTCGGTCTCGGGCCCCCATGTGGCTGTGCGTCTGGGCCCTGGCTGAACGGGGTTTCGGAGCTCCAGCGCTGAGTGGCCCTGAGTCCCCACCTGCTCATCCTCTGCCAGTCTGGGGGAGGGAAGGGAGCTGTGCGTGCGGGGTGGGCAGGGGCAACAAGAAGGAGGAGGGCACGCAGGGCCGAGCGCACGGGTCTGGGGGCCCTCGCAGCATGGCAATGCATTCAAGGTCAGCACCTGTCTTGCAGGTAGCCAGGGACCTTGTGAGGCGTCTACACTTGGAGGCCCACGTGGACAAACTGGTGGCCACCTACAGCGGGGGAACCAAGCGGAAGCTCTCTACAGCCTTGGCCCTGCTGGGCAAACCTGACCTGCTGCTGCTGGTGAGTAGCGGACAGATCTGTGGTCTCTGGGCGTCTTCAACTAGGATGCCCCTCCCGGGAGGACATTCACATCTGCAGTGTGGGTTCTCCAAACAAATAAACATTTTGCCCTAAGACAACGTTTCCCGAACTGAGAGTCTCTGTTATCAATTTCATTGAGGATGCAGTGAAAATTTACCATTAACAGCAGTATTGTAGAATCACACTAGAACCCGAGTACAATCCGAAAACCAGTGTGCGCTTGACATCTAGCATGTCACTTTTGAGTCTTTTCTATGTGATTGTCACAGCGGCTGTGACATGAGTCCGTGGGGAGTCCTGTCAGTGGGTGTCAGGTGTAGGACAGATATGGCAGGGAGAGTGGGTCGTTTGGCAGGAAGGGGGGTGTGAACCAGCGGCTTTGAGACGAGACTGTCCGTAGTCTGTCTGGCAATTGGAGTGAATCCAGTTCAGCCCGATGAAAGCATGAACCAGTGGTGGGGCATCAAGAAACAGAGCCAGTGGTCTTGCATTTCCAAAGGAGCTCAAAGTCCTATCCTGCAAACAATACAAAATAGGCACGATTTGGGTGCCATAGACAGGATACGAGTCCTTGGAGGGCGTCCCACGGCTTCCCACGTGCATGAAGTCAGAGGGGCTGCAAAACAAATTCCTTTCTTCTTTCTGTTCTTGTTCATTCAATGGAAACTGTTTTAAAGGGGACTCAAGAGGCCTGTGTTGGAAGAGGGGCCTCTCATTATTTAGTGGGGTGTCTTCTGGACTCGCAGGTGATTTTCCTTATTCGCTCTAAGCGTGTTTCTTTGCACGGCCCCAAGTCAAGGACAGCTGCAGCATGCCATCTTCTGACATCGGGAGTGAACACAAACACTTGTCCCGTTCTGCAGGTTGTAAACTAGGTTTTCCGTACAAGAGGAGGCCGACATCAAAGGGCTCATGGGGCATGGTGTCTGTTAGCTTCTGTAGAACTTTCCCCAGGCTCAGTCTCACCCAGCGTGTGTCCCGAATCAGGACAGAGACACCGACCAGGAGTGCATCCCCCGCCTGCTTCTTCCAGCCTTACTCTCAGCTCCCTTGGTGGCCCTAGACTTGGGCTTAGAGGTCAGACTTGAGTCAGCTGCCAGGGTCCAGGTTCTGCTCCTCGAAGCACCTCCCTGCACACATGCGGCCTGGCTTATGGAACACACGTTTCCTCCTCCTTGTCGTCTGCAAGTGGCCGGGATACACTCCTGTGTACTGGGGAAGCTGAAAGTGGACCAGGGAATGATGCCCATGGCATATGGTGCCCTAGGCTTTAGTGACCATGCTGAAGGGGACTTGTTTGGAGCATTTTGTTCAAGACATGCCTTGCAGGACCTTCCACATTCTCCCCCAAGGAAGGACAAACGGCTCCCGTCTGACACCGGCGTGGGGTCAGGAAAACGCAGAGCTCCCCATCAGCTTTCTTGCTAAGCAGGGCGCGACCACCGCCATTTGCTTGCTCGTCTAACTCCACATGTATGTCATCCGGTTTGCAGAAAAGTGCAGGTGTGTGTTTTCCTGCGCGGTGCCATTTTTTAGGTCCACTTTCCATCTGTTTTTCTTTTGGAGAAGCTGATGACCCTAAGCTCTTAAGATAAATGTGTTTAGTCCTCCCTGACTGCACAAAGCCCAGAAATGCATCACACGGTCCAGAACCGTTTCTCTCAAAAGTGGTTCAGTAAGTGCTCTGGTGTTTACTGAAGGGGAAGGCTCCAGGTTCCAAGAGAGCCCACGCTACCTGGTGGTGCTCCTTGAGGAGGCTTCCTCTTGCCTGTCTTTCCTTGGAAGTTCTGTGGAGGTGGACGGTGCAACAAGGGGGGGCCGTCCTCTCGGACCACCAGCTGTTGTGAAGCCGTGCTGCCCGGAGAACCAGCGTGGGGTCGCCCCCCCGCCCCCCAACGGGCCCGGCCTCATGCAGCCTGTGTGTCCCAGTGTGCACCTGCAACAGCCACCGTCGTGTGCTCTCTCCTTCAGGACGAGCCCAGCTCCGGGATGGATCCCTGCTCCAAGCGGCACCTGTGGAATACGATACTGCAAGAGGCCCGGGGAGGCTGTGCGGTGGTGCTGACCTCCCACAGGTGAGCCCCTGACCTCACAGCCAGTCTGGGGGCCAGGCTGGGGGCACTGGCAAGAGCCGTGGTGTGGCTGGGGTCAGGCCCATGCGGCCCCTGTGCTCCTGTGTCCAGACAGCCTTGCTGCCATGGGGACGTAGCCGGGAGCCCCCAGCACAGGTTAGGACCCTGAAGTGGAGATGGGTCAGGCAACAGAACCGAGGCCACATAGGCGGCAAGTGGCCTAGAGCTAGAGTCTGAGCCCAGCGGTCTGTCACAGGCACACACTTGCCGTCTGTCATTCCTGCGGGGCTGGATTCCTCCCCCAGTCCTCCTGATGTTAGGTGTCAGTGACTTTCTGCCCAACATCTTTTTTTTTTTTAAAAGGATTTATTTATTTTAGGGGCACCTGGAAAGCTCAGCGGGTTAAGCCTCTGCCTTCATCTCAGGTCATGATCTCAGCGTCCTGGGATTGAGCCCCGCCTGGGGCTCTCTGCTCAGCGGGAAGCCTGCTTCCCTCTCTCTCTGCCTGCCTCTCTGCCTCCTTATGATCTCTCTCTCTGTGTCCAATAAATTAAAGAAAAATCTTAAAAAAAAAAGATTAATTTATTTTATTTAAGAGAGAGCACAAGCACATGGGCTGGGGGAGCGGCAGAGGGACAGAAGCCGACTCCCTGCTGGGCAAAGGATCCTGAGATCATGACCTGAGCCGAAGTCAGTCTCCCAACCGACTGAGCCACCCAGAGGCCCCAGAAGTGTGGTCTTTTGTATCTGACTTCTCTCCCTTGCTGTGTCCTTGAGGCTCATCTGTGTGGTGGTGTGTGTCAGCCATGGGCTGGTTTTCGGTGCGGAACGGTGCTCCCTGAGACCGTGTTTCGTGCATTCTTCCCTAGTCCATGGCCCTTGGGACTGATTCCAGTATGAGGTGCTGTGAACGGTCTATGACTGTCTTTGTGTGGGTGTATCTTTTTATTTGTCTGGAATGGTTTTTAGGAGCCGAATTGCTGGATTGTGTGGTAAGCTTGTGTTTAATCCTTTAAGCCAGAGTAGGGCTTTTGCTTTCTGACGCGGCTTCATCATTTCATGTTCCCAGGACCAAAGATGAAGTTCTTGGCTTCTGCAGACTCTTGTCAACACTGTCTTTCTGATTGCAGCCATCCTGGCAAAGTGTGATTTTAATGCACGTTGTCCAGATGAGTGGGTCGTCTCTGTCTTCTCAGCTGCATTGTTTCTTACAGGAAGCCAGCCAGTGCTAATTCTCATGTTGCCCAGAACATCATGGGTCATTTCTGCTTTTCAGCTCATAGGATTTCCCTTGTACTTTCACGTTTCACAGTTAAACTTCAGTGTGTCCAGAGGTGGATCTCTTTGATTATCCTACCTTGGGTTCATTGTGCTTCTTGAATGCATGGGTTAATGTTTTTCAGTAAATGTGGGGACATTTTGGCCGTTACTTACTCCAGTGTTTTTTTCTGGCTCTTTGTTTTTTTCCTTTTTTTTTTTTTTTTTTTTTTTGATGCATTGGGACTTTCTGTGTATATATGATGGTGTCCCATGGATCTATGGTTTTCTGTCCACTTCTTTTCAGCATTTTTTTCTCTTTCAGATTGAATAATCTTCATTGATCTCTCTTCAAGTTCACTGATGTTTTCTTCTGCTACTCAAACTTTGCTCTTGGCCCAGTGATGAAACTTTCATTCCATTTATCATACTCTTCAACCAAAAAAATTCCATTTGGTCCCTTTTTTTATGTTTGTTTATTTTTGGAGAGAGAGAGAGCATGGGTGGGAGGGGCAGAGAGAGGGGGAGAGAACTCTCAAGCAGACCTCCCACTGAGCACGGACCCCCAGTGCAGAGCTCGATCTCATGAACTGGAGACCATGACCTGAGCTGAAACCAACAGTCGGACGCCCAACTGGCTGAGCCACCCAGGTGTCCCATTTGGTCCTTTAAAAAAAAAAAATTCCAATCTACCTCAGAACCTCTATTTATTCATCATTATTGTCATTAAAAAAAAATCTTGAAACATTGTTTCCTTTAGTGCTTTGAACATACATAGAATAGCTTCACTGAAGATTCTTTTCTACTAACCATAGCATTTAGGGACACTTGGGAACGGTTTCTGCCGACTGTTTTCCCCTAAGGATAGGTAGCAGTTTCTGGTTTCTTCTGCAGGTTTTAATTTTTTGTCAAAAGCTGGATGTTTCACAATGCTTAATAAACCGTAGTATCTCTGGTTTGATTTCTCCCCACGCCCCAAAGTTGCTGTTATTGCCAGTTTTTTTCGTTTTCGTTTTGTTTTGTTTTGTTTCTGGTTTGTTCCTTATCTGTGTCTGTGTGTTAGTGTTTCTTTGCCAGGGATGCATCTATATCTCTCTCCCCTGCAGCGAGTAACTCCCGATGCCTGCCTTCAGTTTGTGTTTTAAATTTTGTGCTCATGTTTTAAAGCCTGGCTTCCTTGGAGCCACACTGATGGTACACAGGCAGAGGCAGCCCTCAGCCATCTCAAGGCACCAAAGATTCTGTCCTCTGCCAACGGATCTGTGTGTGCACAGAAGAGAATATTCCAAGCCCAGGCCTCTTGTCGATAGCCCAGTTTTGCTTTCTCCTGGGTTCTGCTGCTCTCTGGGCTGTGCACGTGGGTGGCCCCTGGGTTCATGTGCAGCTTGCAGTTGGTGTGGCCCCGCTTTGACCTCTCCTACGTGTACATGCAGCCCCAGGGAGCTATATCCATGCAATATTAGCCAAGTGGAGCCCACCTTGGGCCAGATGCCAGAGCTATTGCCCCTTCCTGTTTGCCGGACTCCACAGAACTCACTCACACTGACAATGTCACTGGGCACCAGCATTTCCCAGTGGTCCACACTGAGAGCCAATACTCTGCTAATCCTCGAGGTCTGCCCTGCCTGCTGGCAGGTGCATGTTTGTGAAGCTAATCCCGGATTACCTGTCTTCTTACCCTCATTCATCCATTTGTCACCTGTGTTCCTCAGATTGTTGCATGCCTTCGGTCAACTTCCAGAATTCTGAAATGGGTGTTTGGGTTCATTTGGTCCAGCTTTATAGCTGTTTCTGGGGGAAAGGCTTGCCAATTTTTTTACTCGGCCACAGCCAAAAGCCCTCCTCCAGCTTTTTTGTCTTGGTTCTGTTTCTCTTCGGAAAATAAAATTTTATATCGAAGTAAATTGGGTACAACCTCTACCTGATACTATATACTCATTTTGGCTGAAAACCATCTTTTGTCTGTGCCGAGTCCAGAAGCTCTGCTCATTATGTTGGCATTTGGTAAGTCCTCACGTTCACAGGTAGGTTCTAGGATTGGATAAACTGGTGTCACATTAAAAATGCCTCTTAAATTCCGTAGAGTAGGTAATTATTGCCAACAGTTCTCAGAAAGACCACACGTCACTGTAATTTCCGTTTTATGTCCTCCTGTTCATACTGCTTCACGTTAACGATGTATCTTCATTTCTATAAATCTGTCCATTTTCATGCAATACAAAGGTCTAAATGACTCACGATTAATGAAGAGTAGGGCAGCTGGTGATTGATTCTGTGATTCTAAAACAGCTATCTTCAGCTGAAAAGTTTTCAAATCACATAGTTTCCTCTTAATTTAGAGTTCTTTTCTCTGTTTCTTTTTTTTTTAATTCCTTACCTAGAGGACCATGGTAGAAACATGAGGTGGGAAGAGGAATTAAAATGAGTCCATCCACGGCACCCTGGGTGGCTAGGTTGGTCAAGCATCTGACTCTTGATTTCGGCTCAGGTCATGAGCTCAGGGTGGTAGTTTCGAGCCTGGCGTCAGGCTCTGTGCTCAGCCTGGAGTCTGCTAGTCCCTCTCCCTCTGCCCTTTCCCCTGCTCTCTTTCTCTCTTGAATAAATAAAATTAAAAAAAAAAAAAAAGAGAGTCTATCCAAGAATGACCAGGAGTGTTTTTTGCTTGCCCATCAAACCCTGACTTATACATTCCATTATAAACCCTTAAATCTTTGTGCCTGCCCCCTTCCCCCACCTCCTGCCCTGACCGGAGTTCTGTTCCAGTCGGCTTAGCCACCCTGAGGAAATACAGTGTTCAATTTCTGAGTAAATGGTCAGAGATTGCTTTCATTGATGTTGAACCCCTAGCATTGTATATGCTGATTGATGCTGAAAATGACCAAAACCCCACAGTCTGTTCCCCCTAAGCTGAGATGCTCTGATTTCCCACCTGTTGTTTGGACCTTATCTGTCTGACCACTAATGACAGTTCACTGGAAACTACCAAGTCATTCCTCCAACGTCTGTTCTTACGTGGATCTCCACTCATCTGAACGAATACAGACATGGCTTCCTGTTCTGCCCATTTAATTACAGCACCTACTACACGCTCATAAAAATGGAATTAGATTGTTTTAAATTGGGATTAAAGAAACAGAGAAAGACATGTTTGCATAGAAAGATAGATAAAGCGCGTGTAGAATGTGGATAGAATATATTCCGCAGACTTCATGTTAAGCCACTGTAATAAAGACCCCAAGTCACAGTGGCTCAGAGTAGACCTGTGTTCCTTCTCCCCATTGACAATTCATGTTGGTGGGTTGTGCTGGAGTCCAAGGTCATCCAAGGACTCAGGGTCTTGCCACCATGCCACTTGGTCACCTGTAAATTTGTCCTCATCTTCACGGTTGAAATCAGCTTTCTAGATCCCCTCATGGAAAGTGGAAAGAACCAATATCCAGGACAAATGGCTTGTCTTATTTTGACACAACCCAGAAATCATACTTCACATTGATGTCCGCCTCTAGCTGCACAGAAGGCTGACCCAGTATAGCCTTGATCCGAACGTGCCATGACCTCATGAGCAGACTGCTTAATGTCCACTTCCTAACAGTAAAAACAATACATGTCTCCCATAGGTGGCTTGGATGGTGCAGTGAGGTATAAGAAGGGAAGACATTCCACCATTAACCTTTAAAAGTGTCATCCCAATCATACCTTTTTGTGTTTTTCCTTCCCAGTTTTTTTTTTTTTTTCCACATGCAGGTACAATATTCCGGACATGCATTGCCATATTATCATTACTATATCATTACTTTTTCCCTGTGCAATTAATTGAGTGTAGAAAAGCTCATTTTACTGGCTGATTAACACGTGGGTGTGCTCACATTTGTATGAGTGCTGTATTATCCTATTGCAGAACTGATCTCTGGATATTTACTCCGGGAAATAACTTGGTTGCATTCATATTTTCTGAGTTTCCTAAGGTGAATTCCTAGAAAAGAGATTATTGCCAGATTTAGGTTTTGGAAACTTATACCAGTTTTTCACTTCCACCAGTAGCATGGGGGGGGGGCCTTCTTAGGATCATAGAAAAGATGTTTTTAGCTTTTTTGAGGGTTTTTTTTTTTTTTTATCTGAGAAATCATTGTTTTTATTTGCCCTGGAGATGGGGGAAAATGTGTTTTCCTGTTTAACGTACGAAAGTACACATGGCCAATGCCTTCTGGCTGGAAAATGATTTTAAGATCCCGTATCTGGTAGTTCAGTTTCTGATTTGTGGGTATGTGTATTACCAGTGAGCAGTTCTTTGAAAAGGCTATAGGTTTGCCCTTTTCCCTGGATTGCATTTTCACTTTTCTGTTTTTACCCTAACATGTATCTATTCTTTATACTGAATGTACCAACCCTTATGTATTGCGTTCGTTGTCATTATTTTTAATGTTAGTTTGCTGTGTTGACACGTTTATTAGAAGTTCGTAGTTTTGCGTTGTCAACTGTCAAACATTTCTGTCAGAGTTTCTTTTGTTGTTGTTATGCTTAGATACAATGTTCCATCCTCCGATGTTTAAGGTGTGAAGGTCTCCTTCCGCACCGTCTTTACTGGTTCCAGGGACCTGCCTTCTAATCCTTTCGCATATTGCTTTATTTAAATTATTTGAACTTTATCACTACTCAGCAGGGAATCTGCTTTTCCCTCTCTTCCTCTGCCTACCCCCAGCTCATATTCTCTCTCTCGCAACTAAATAAATAAAAATCTTTAAAAAATAAATTATTTAAGCCTTAAAGCAAATGTTAATAGTTTCTGGGGCTTATTTCTCTTCCTACTGAGAGTTTTTCTGCCTCTCACTAAATAACTTTGAAGATAGGCTTTGTAACTGACTGGCATTATACTATATCCTTGTTATAACTTGTTACTTTCTATATAATTATAATAATACTTTTACAAGTTACAAGTCTTTATTACATATTTTATATGAAGATATTATACAATATTACAAGCTAAATTATAGTTGCAAATTAAAATGTCATTTGTTATATTTTATATTATGTATGATAATAAAATAGAATTCGTATTTGTATTTTATATAAAATTCACTTATTACATTTTATATTTGTATGTACATATTTCATAAAATAATTTTCTTAACAGTAATTTTCATATTATGATGATTTCCTTTTTCTGAAATATATTCTCTGTTTTCCTTTTCTTGACATGTCTTTTTATCGATTTAGGATTTCATTTAGGTTCATAGTAGATCGTATTGCTTTTATTTCTCATAAAACGTCCACATTTTCCATGAAGGTCGCTCATATCTCGTTTATGTTTTTGTACTGTCACTAAAAGGTTCTGTCCTCGTAGCTGTTGCTCCTCAGATATTGAAATGCTGCTAAGTCTTTGGACAAGTGTGTCATGGGCTGTCTAACTAAAAGATCCACTTAAAAAGTGCTTTGGGGGTTCTGTAAGGTTTGCATAGAGAAAATTGTTGAATTTACAACAGTACTTTTTTTTTTTTTTTAAGATTTTGAGAGAGAACGCGAGACACAGAGCATGAGCAGCGAGAGGGGTTGGGGGAGGGCCAGAGGGAGAAACAGACTCCCCACTGAGCAGAGAGCCTGATGTGGGGGGCTCGGTCTCAGGACCCTGAGATCATGACCTGAGCCGAAAGCGGATGCTTCACCAACTGAGCCACTCAGCTGCCCCAACAACAGTAGTGTCTTTATCTACGTGTTGGTTTGACTGTGTGGTCCAAGCCTGGCGTCTCTAGGACACGGCTCACTCATGGGCTTCTTGTCTTTCCCTGCAGCATGGAGGAGTGTGAGGCTCTTTGCACGAGACTAGCCATAATGGTCAAGGGCAGCTTCAGGTGCCTCGGCTCCCCACAGCACCTTAAGGACAGGTATGTTGCATGAACGTTGTGTGTTGTTTGTATACATGTATGCTGTGCATGTGCTGCATGTGTATTTCTCGTCCCGTTGAACTGTTTGCCCTAAGTCAGCAGTGGGATGCACCTGTCGCCGATGCTCTGGAGCCAGCACGGTCCGGCCCCCTTGCCGCCTGGGAAGGGAGACGTGGGCTGAGAAGGTGAGGGTGGGCGGGATGCACACAGACCCAGCCATTCCCACCATGTTCACGGCTTCCTCTGGGAGGACAGGCACTCTCTTTGTGAGAGTCAAGATGGAGAGAGGAGAAAAACGTCCTTGCTGATACAGAATACCTTCCACACCGTCGTCCAACCCCGTAGCCCTCGTCCAGGGTAGATCGGGGGCCTGTGTCATCTGCCACTGCCGTGCCGTGGAACAGGTCTGCTCTCAGTCAGGAGGGAACACGGGGCTGTTGTGGTTGATTTTCATTTGGACTAGTAAGGACTGAGGATTTTTCCTGTGTGTCCTCATCCCTTAGATTTCTTCCCTGCCGATTGTCTTTTCATGTCTTTTCTGTTGACTTTTTGGGATCGTCATGATTTTGCTGTCAATCTCTACAAGCATGTTTCTGTACAGTATTAAGGTCTTTGAAACTTCAGGGTCACCGAAACTATTTTCACAGTTTCTGGTTTCCTTGTAACTTGCTGTTTAACTCTTGTTTCTGATACAGAATAATTTATTAATATATGTTGGTGAATTTTTCGTTTTCATTTATCCAGTGTTTTTGAAGTTGGAATTTGCAGGCAGAGGTTTGTTAAACAGATCTATATATTCAGTTGAAATGTGTTTATTTCACAGAGCAAATACCACGGCATGCTTGTTGTCCTGTCCTGGGAAGCAAGTATCCACTTTCCCGTGGCTCGGAGCCGGGTGCTGCCTGGACAGCCGACCCCGCTCCTGCTTCCATGTGGGGTCGGTCACTTACCAGATGAGCCTGCTGGAAACTGTTCTCAATATGTACTCCGCTCACCTTTAATAAGTGTCATCAAAAGAAAAATAATATTTCACACTCCCTAACCTTTATGAATGCTTACATAAAGTTTTATAGCCCATGCCTGATTGTTAGCTGATTTATGTCTTAGTTTAGCTACCTTCCTCTCTCCAGCATTCTGCAAGTTGGCTGGAGGAGGAACCCCGGGGAAGCAGAGGGGAACCGACCTCCTCCAGCGGGGTGGTTTGTGTCTCACCTGCTCCTGGTTTCAGTGCCGATAATGCGTCCTGTGGCTGAAGGTGGACTGAGAGTAATGTGTGAGCCCTACAGTGACCAAGCAGGAACTGGCTCGTGGGGGATTTGCCCTAACTCATTGCAAAACGTAATTTGTGAAACTGGTATTTTCCTGCAGCAAATAAACTGATGACATCTGTTTTTGTAATATGAGATGGAAGGTGAAGGGTTAATCCTGACGTGGACCCAGGAGTCCCCAGCATCTGTGCCTGCTGAGGTCCCTGTGGCTGAGGGGCTGCATGGAGAGTGTGGGCTCCTTCCCTACTCCTCTCTGCTCATAGCCCACGGGCATGCTCTTTGGTGGGCTTTAAGCAGATGTGACACACCCAGGTTGGCTTCCAGCCCTGCTGTCCCCCACACGGGTGTCCTGGTGTCTGATGGCATCTCCATGTGCTGTGACCGGGAGCGGTGGTGACCCTAGAATTTCGGTCTGTGCTCATGTTGTTCTGAGCCCCAGAGCTGTGTGCGAGGGGCCATTGGGCACCTGCAGGGGGGCCTAATCTACTGCCCTTGTAGGCATCACACAGCCTTTCTGTCCAGCGTCCCCGGCTGGGGATGGGTCACCGCGAGGCCAGGCGAGCGTGCAGCATGTAGAGGAGGGCCTAGCTCAGGCCACTGTGATCCGCAGAGAGGCTGGTGCTTTAGGGGCTCGCGGGGGGGGGGGGGGGGGGGTGGGGGGTGGCGGGGGGGGGGGGGGGGGGGGGGCTGTTGGAGGTGGGAGGTGGGAGGAGCTTCTGCGGCGGTTGCCCTGGGGAAGCCTGAAAGTCACAGCTCAGCCCAGGCAAGTCAGTGTTAATGCGCAAGTCTCAGAGCAGCTGCAAAGCTGGCCCCCACAACGGACGGGAGGGGTCAAGGCCAACCTGGGACTCATGTGAAAGGAGTGAGGAGACAGTGCGGATGGAGCAGGGGTGAGGGAGGTGTGCTGACGCTGCATTTGGAAGAGACCCTCCTGAGCTCGGATGAGGGGTTTTCCTGTGGAGATGCAGGGGTGGGTGCGCAAGGCCTCGCTTTGGCGCGGAAGCATCTGCCTCATGGGGTAGCCGATGCCAGGAGCTGCGTGGAGGGGACTCACAGAGCCAAGTGGAGGGTAGGGCAGGGCAGGGAAGGGGCCCTCTGGGCCTGGAGACACCCGCCCCAGCCTCCCACATGCACTCCTTCCTGCAGCGCCCCGGCCCTGACCATCCTCACCCCGCTGCCCCGCCCCCCACCTGGAGGCTTCCTTCTTCCACGCTCCCCTCCCCTGGCTTCCCGGTACTCAGCATTTTCCTCCCTCTGCGCTCCCATTCCCAGCCACGAGCAGCTTTTCTTCTGCGGCATCTAAGTGTGTGTTCTCCCTGCCCTGGGGTCGGTCTGTGCACAGCTCCATTTCCCCAAACCTGCCTCATTCCAGCTGGACACTGCGCCCTGGGACAGCACAACCACAGTCTCCCATCAGTCCAGCGTCGTTGGGGCCTCCACACTCTTTCAGAGATGCCCTCTGAGATCACTGAGAGCCGGTGCTGGAGGCCTTGTCCAGGCAAATGCAGGAGAGCCACCCCGCAGAGGACAGTCACAGTCCTGAGCTGTCTAGGCTTTCACTCCCTGGAGGATGAACATTGCCAGCCTCTAATTCATTCATTTACTGACTTGGTGTCCTGTTTTCTTCCCAAGTTCTGGACCTTGTTAGAACTTCTTAGAGCATCTTGTGCATTATTTCTACAGCAGTACACACTGTATCTAACTGTGCAGTTCCAACATACCGCTAAAATGCTGTTTGCTCATAAGAACCAAGTCCAAGGTTAGCGACCGTGGTCATCCTCTGGTATTTCCATGAAGAAGCCAATCACAGACTTCTAGTTGGACGACCTGTTGGGTTCTCCTGACTCTGGCCTGGGTTTTCCTGCTCCCCTGCAGTTTCTCCCGAGCCAGCCACCTCCTGTCTCACCTCGTGGCCAGGTGGGAAGATTTATCTGACATTGGGAGCTGCTTGGCCTGAAGGACAGGTGGGGTCCAGAGAACAGGAGGTCAGGATCTAGGCCTCTCTGGGGAAAGTGGCCTTCTCCCCATCACACACGCTGACCTCGTCTCTGTGCCTCCCTGCCTCCCTCCCACCGCTATGACCTCTGGCTTCTCAGACTTGAGAAGGTGTGTCCCTGCCCCGTGTCAGCCCCATGCCTCTTGCTGGCCGTGAGGTCCTCAAAGACCGCTCAGATGCTGCCTCAGCCTCCCTCCTTCCCCAACGCCTTCACCACACCCACCCTGGATGTCTTCACTCTTCCTAGGGGGCCTCCCCTCCCCAGTTAACATCCCCCCACACACCAGTTTGTACTCAGTGGCCTCGGAGCCTGGATGAGACCTCTGGCTTTCCCCTCTGCCCTGTTCTAGTGCTCCGGACGGCCTCCTTTCAGGCTCAGGAAACTGGGCCACATGCCCTTCTCCCCTTTCGGCCTCTTCCCTTTGCTCTCTGGCCACGGACAGTCATAGTTTCTGACATTTGCATCCATGAGCTGCAGTTCTGGAGCAGCTCTCCATGAGGTCTGGCCCCTTCTCGGGGACCACCTTTGTTTTCTTGTCTCTGCTCTCTGGTGTCTGGGCCATTCCCCTCTCCTACGTGTCCCAGTTCTCCCCTTCTGTCTGGAGGCCATTCAGTATATATGATCCCTTCCGTACCGGCCAGAGCTCTGGGCACAGCTCATCTGGCCTCCGGGGGTGATGTCAGGAGCCATGGCAGGCGCGGGGCTTAATCTGCGCCTGTTCTCGGTGCTCTGTGCACTAACTAGTTGGCTCCTCCTCACACCCCTGTGAGCTGGCTCTCGGTATTACCTTCCTCGGCAATTATAGAACATGAGTCAGAGAAACGTGGAGCATGTTCCTGGCTGGTGGGCGGAGGAGCTGGGATTGGAACATGGGCTTCTGATTCCGCTTTGTTCTGTGGCGTATGTTCTCAGGACAACCCCCACTTGGTAACCACAGAGAGGGGCTGTGGTGGAGCTGGGACCCCGATCTCTCCTGTGACCCAACTCTGGTGGTGTTCCCATGCCCCCATTCTGGCCAAGGCCCTGATGCCCATTCATTTAACACGTGCTCTCTAATATCCTGAGATGATAGAAGCTGCTTGTCTGTCCGCCCCTCAGGGTGGGCTCACTAACTGCCATTCACCCTTTTCTGCCTTTGTTTCTATTCTGAGAAGGATATTTGCCTCTTTACCAACTGTATGTCTTCTTCCTGTGTGACCATCCCACGATCTCCTTTCCTTTTGAGACCTTCGTCTAGGGGATTTTCTCTTCTATCTTTGATCTTCTGTTTCAGTTATGAGCTATGTCCATCTCTTAGTAACAGAACATCAGACACGCTGATGTAAGTATATCCATTGACTGAAGTGTGTTCACTTTTTACATGTAATAAAAGTCCAGAAGTACCTGGTTTTGGCACTGGTTCAGTGGCTTAAGTCTTTACAGTCTTCTTGGTCCCAGAATGGCTGCTGAAGCTCCGTCCATCACATCCTTGTTCTAGGCAACAAACAAGAGGGAGCAGGGAAAGGCAAGCTGTCTGTAAGCCCTACCCACCCACTTGTGCTTTTGTTTTGTCAGTTGCCCTGGTTACTAGGAAGCCCAAGAAATGTAGAATTTAGCTGGGCATTTTGCCACTTAAATAACCTTTCTCCTGAGGGATAAGACAAGGGATAAGATGTTGGGGAGCTGTCTATAGTCTCTCATGCTCCTGATGGGATTCTTTTCCTCAGATGGGCATAGCTCATTAGGTTGAAAAGTG